GCAAGGGACACTAAAAACAACAGGTAAGTTCACAGTAAAAAACAGAAAAGAAATGATGGTTCAGCTTCTCAATAAGAAAGGCAAATGGGTAACAGATAACAAAGAAAAGGCCAAAGTCAAGTGCCAACTAGTCTTCTTTGGAATGGTGCCTGGTTAATGTCAGCTACATTTCAAGGATGCACACATGCTGGTTTCTAGAAAAGAGGGTTTTTCTCTGGCTGTGTGTGAATTATTGCATGATTGTACGTATGGAAGTTATGATTTGTACCTATAGATTTGTACATCAAACCCACTCCATCCTTCCCACCTGTAGAGCATCCCCCCCATGTTTTTCTGCTTTTTCTGCTTTGGCAAGCTGGCAGGAAAAATCATGCCATTGAAACTTTTTACTTTTGTAACCTATTAGAAAGTTTCAACTGTGCTACATGTAACCATTTAATGATCAACGTACAAAAGGGCCAACTGAGGACAGCTCAGGTGTACAATCTGGAATGATTTGTTGACAGCCGTTATTCTTGGGAATAAATCCTGTAGAAGAAAACTTTCCCTTGTGGTGTATTTTGGGCATATGCACACCAAGACATAGACCATTCCGTCACCATCCTTATCGTACTTGACAAACGCAAGTTTGGCCCCTATAGTTGCAGACTTGTCCACCAGGAGTTGGCTTCTTCTCTTTCCCTTGGCACCTTCGTTGCCTTCCAGAGCACTGCCCTGCTTCCACAGCCCTGATCCTCCCCCCACACTTGTCCAGTGCAGACACGTTACTGGGGGGTCTGAACCCACCCATCCCGACTCAGTTTAAAGTCTTCCGGACGAAGCTCACTAGAGCATCTCCAAAGGACCTTTTCCCCATCCTCGTGAGGTGCAACCCGTCCCTTACCAGAAGTCCATTGGCAAGAAACCGGGTGCCGTGGTCGAGGAACCCGAAGCGTTCCTTCTGGCACCACACCCTAAGCCAGTCGTTCACCTCGGAGGCCCTCCTGTCCCTTCCTGGCCCAAATCCCCGGACAGGTAAGATTGACGAGAAAGCCACTTGGGCCTTCAGCTCCCTGAGTTTCTTCCCCAAGACCTCAAAGTCCCTGGTGGTCCCGACCACACCCTGCCTGGCTATGTCAAGCACCCCTGTGTTGTTTCATTGTTCAATTCTACGGTCACACTGGGATTTGAGGGTATGGGGGGGGGAGTATGGGGGGGCATAGACGTGGTGACTGGCAAACCCAGTTTATTCCAGACTCTTTCAGTAAGGAGGATGTCAATGGATTGTGCTCTGCACAAAGTGAGGCTTTGAGCTGGAAGCCTCCATTGACAGGAACAAAAACCAAATCGAACTCACTAAAGGAAACACAATTTCATCCACATTAAGATGAGCACCCTGAACTGAGGGAGCTGCAAAGCTCTTACGTGAAGTAGACCTATGAAGATCGTGTTTGAATTGAATGTCTGTTTGCACCATCAACTCCACTTGAAAGACTATGGAGAGGCAGTTCACAATCCGTCAACATCCTCCACAGAGAAAGTGCCAGGAAAAGAGCGAGTTCACCAGTCCACACACATGCCCCAACATCACACACTGAGTGTAGACATTTACAGTGCGAGCTCTTAGGGGTGCTCTTTTGAAGTGATGGAAAAGCAGACGCTTTCCATTCTTACTCGACATCTGAGTGGGACTTCTGCAGCATCCACAATTTAGAGTTCTCACCGCAATGTGTGAGAAGCGAGATTGTTCACATTCCATGAGCTAATGGGGCTACTCTGAGTAAGACACTTAATGGCACACAATATTGAGTGCTCCTATCAGTGGTGAAGGAGAGTTTGAATGACTTTCAAATTGGATTCAAATATAAAGACTCACAGTGCAGCCTGCTCTCTATAGGTGTAAGAGGCCTATGGAGAGAAAGAACACGATCCATCCACATCCTCTGTGGAGAAAGTGCCAGGAGAAGAGTGGGTTCACCACACGTCACACATGTGCCTGACGCCTCACAGTGGACACAGTTGAGTGTGACCTTAATGGCAAGCCCCGATCCCAGATTGAACCCAGCATGAAAGTGATTCTACCACATTGAGAAAGACCATAACCATGAGTGTGAGATTTCAAAGTCCTGGCTAAGCCACCAGGCATTAGTTACTCCAGAGATCTGCTGTCCTCCATGCAGGACTAAGGAAGCTGTAAAGCCCACATATCGGGCCTCTCCGGATGAAAGGAATGGTGGTGCTTTTTCAGACAAGTTGGGGCATTTGAGCAGAGCGGAAGTACTAAGTGAAGAGCCCTAAAGGACACTGGGATAAAAGTGCTGCCACGGAATGTAGCAGGCTGGCCTTCAAAGCCGCATAAGGGTTTTATGTGTTAGTAGACTATTTCCTGCATATTTTGCTGATCATGATGTTGCATATGAATCAACATAGACTGTAAGTGAGACAATCTGGTGATGATAGTACACTGTTTCTTACTAGAGAGTTTAATTAACAGCTTAACAGTTCTTTGAACATTGACCATTCTAATGAGTCAGAAGCACAATTCTCATGGGTTTCCTCACTGCAATGGTTTGTTTCCATCTTTTAAGGAACACTTAAGTTTCTTAATAGTCCACATGCCTCCTCTAAGTGATTCATCACTCTGGAAGCTGCCTTCTTTGACACTAGAGGAAAAATTGCCTTTACTTCGAGAGGCTAGACTCCTCACATTCTCCATTTTAGAAGCAAGTAGAGGTATAATTATTATAACTTTGAAAGTCAAATCAGCCCTTCCTGCCTTTTTGGGCCTTCCTTTTCCTAATCAGAGCTGCTAAAAGTTAAGATAATTCCCTTACAGTATCCATCGCTAATCAAATATTTGGTTAATTTTAAAGCTTTGTCTCAAACAGTGGGATCTAATACCAGTTCACTTGTTGTTTAGCTCAAAAACCAGAATCCCAATAATGTTCTTCAAACAAATCTGGTGCACCAATGCAAGATCCTGCATGCATCTGTTCAAATTGATCACTACCTTCTGTTTCTCTGCCTGTCTGGCCGAAATAGACCTATGCATCTCTCTTGAGGCCAGTTCAGATCCGAATTTTCCAGTCTTTTACCCTGACTTAGCAGTGTCACGCTGGTTTACAACTTTTTTCTTGGCAAACTGGGCTGTGTCCTACCCAGGCAACAAAAACCAGGAGATATTCCATATTTGAGGGCTTCTGTGAAATTTAAGGCAATCCTAGGCATTTCTAAATTTTGCATGCATTTCTAAAGTCATATGCAAGAGTTGTATTTTAGGTGGCTCACCATACCCCAAGTGCAACTACAGGACATCTAACACAGGTAAGTAAAAGAAGAAGGGAAGACACACTGTTTTGCTCAATCATTGTGCTCATCCCTCACATCTCCCCACATAGCAAATACTAGAAGAAATTTGTGTCGTTCTTGTTCTTAGTGTGAGAAATGAAATATTACTGTTACTAAGTGGTAAGGTGAAAACACAGAAAGGGTGAAATACAGGGCTAGGGTAGGATCATTGAAGTTCCTTAAGGCCAAAAGGCCTGAGGAGAGAATCATGTAAATAGTTGTACTAAAAGTAATAGTGTTTCCTACATCAAAGTCCTGAAAAATACCAGAGAGGGTATAAGTGGGGGGCAGTGGTAAAACTGTCACCTTCAGTGGAGGGGAGCAGGAAACTGATTGCCTTTTACAACTGGCCGTAATGAGCCTGGAGGAAGGCCTGTTCGTCCGATCTCATCCTCCCACAAGATTTAGAAACAAGTTGGCATCAAGTGAGAGGCTCCAAGACCAAGCCGACCTGTTGAACTCTTAGAAGGAACTGCGCACGCTTAACAGGCGCATGAATAGTAACTGACACACCTCTCATAGGTAATGGGCTCATTAGCATGAACGTGGGACGTATGAGCAGGAGGGGGAGCATATCAAGGAGTGGTATGATGTAGGCGGACAGAGAAGATTGTGACCTCTTAGCAACCCAGCCAGTGGGAGAAAAGGGGCGGGGTCTGCGAGCCGGGAACAGGGAATACAAGGCAATGTCTTGTGTGTCACCGGCGAGCTGCCTGCGTGGTGGGCGCCCGCTCTTGCAAGAACGAATTAAACTGTACTGCTTGGCACTTTGCCTCCGTATCATCGCTACTGGTATTTACCCCTTACATTAGCACCTTTCCCTACCCCGGCAGCGGGGAACTACCTCTTGCCTTCACAGGGCAGTACTGAATCCTGGATACCAAAGAAGTTCTCTGTTGGCAAAGCTGCTCTGCCCTCCAGAGCCCCCCGCTCCAGCCAGAGCCACTGGGAGCCCCGGCCACGTGCGCGGAAGCACTTTCCCGTTCAGGCCCTGCCTGTGCTTCTGACCATGTCGCCTAAGGGTTGATGCAAGCAGAGCAACAGACTGGCGGCCGTGCACAGCAGGCCTTCAGAGGCTCAGTCTGGTGAGCCACGGGGCCGGTCTTCATGTCCTGAATGCTCAGTGTGCCTCTTTGCCTTTGTCACTGCCAGAGCACTGGCCCCGAGAGAGGCTCTAACCTGCATTTTATAATTCTTAAGCTGTTCTGTCACCTAAGTTCTTGATGCCAGCCTTGCTTTTTCAACACCATCTTTGCAGAATAGCATGGAGTAGAAACTCCAGCTTGGCCAAGGATATTCGGGAGTATTGGTACCTACATACTGACCCATTTCCTCATTTTAGGAATTAGATAGATCTTCTGCAGGACCAATTACTGAATTTAGCATCAGAAAACCACATCTACATAAATCCCCAGGGATGGATTATCGAAAATGGTCCATAATTGGCCTTATGAAGGTTTGAGGCAGCATTTGGATGAAACATGATCTATAATTTGTTCAGCATGATGGAGCCATGTCCCCACTCACTGAGTGGAAGTTTTTTGTGCTCCCAGGCAATGTTGCTGCAGTCTGAATTCAACACTAGGATTGCAAAAGCAGTTGTGTGTGGTGAAGCAGGTTTGTCCCAGTGATTACTTTACTGACTGTTTTTATATTGACCCAGCCTGGTTGACTCAGAAGTTTGTATACACAGAATGATCCTCATGGAAATCTCTCCTAAGAAGAGAAGCTAGTTTCTTTCCAAAAGGTGGCTGTGTGCTGAATTCTTCTGTGATTTCTATCACAGATTTTCCTTTAGTCTCTGGAAGAAACATGTAGAAGAACATTGATGTCCCTACTAGGACAAACATGAAGATGAAGAAACAAAAGGGGCCCAGACTTTCCTGTAAATAGACAAAAATAAGAGAGCCATTACTATGAACAAGTCAAACAGGTAGATTATGGTGAGTTTTCCTGCATCTCCCAATCCAAATCAATTATTAAAATGCTGGATATTTATTAGATGTGTGTGAAGTGGCTCCGATGGCCCACCCTAAAAATGACTCTCTAAATTCCCAATGTGCGCAATGACCAAAAAGACCATCTGTGTTAGCCAATTGCTTTATTCTTCAAAGGTAATACCACATTATCTGCCAGTAATGGTCAATTCACAACTACCTTCAGAGAAGGTTGTGCTCCTGGCAAGCCAAACTGTGATTGCAGCAGGAGTAGCAAAATATTAGAAACCCAATCCCTCATCATGTCCCTCCTTTAATAGTCCCAGTCAGGATCACTCCCCCAATTCCTTTAAAATACACTCATGACTGGTGTTCTGTTCTGCCAACACAATCACTTTTGGTAAAAGCTCCAAAGAGGGACTTCTCAGTGGCTACTCCTTCTTGGTTCTGAATTCCCTTCTCAAAGAAAACCTGAATATGGCTGGCAAAGGTGTTCTGCATATAAGGAGATTTGTAAATACACTGTTGTTCCAGTGTGTATGGGTCCCTGAAGGCCTAAGACCCAGAAGAAAATGGAGAATCAAAAAGCTTTATGGGACTGACCAGACTGAGTATTTTTTGCAGCAAAACAGAGAGGCCGGGAGTGGTTGGAGAAAGGAACATAACAAGATAAGTCCGTGTGAGCTAGAACAGCGCCAAACTGGTCACCCACAGTCCCGATGGATCACTGAGACGGTCTATTAGCTGCATGAGTGGCATTAATTCAAGTGTGGATGAGGCCTCTTGATACTGTTGCTGATGACTGCGAACTTATATTCTTATACTTCTTATTCTTCATATCATAGAATAAATGTTACATGCATAGTCTTTAAAGCCAGATCTCTTTGAGAAGGGCTCTCCTTGGAAACCTGATAGTCTCCTCTTTACTGAATCAAGGACCGCTTTATTCCGGTCACACTGTAACTGTAAATGGCAAAGTGGCAATTGGGCTGCAATTTGGGATATAAATTGCAAATCAGATAAAAGAGAAACAGAGAGTGCAGGAAAAAAAGCAGCAGTTATGTATTGTAAAACTAACCACAGCAAATGGAAAGGTTATTCCAACGACAAAGAGACCTGCCCAATTCAGGCAGCCACCAATCATGAAAGCTGCTGGTCTGGAGGACTGGCTGAAAATTTCCATCATGACAGACATTGTGGCTCCACCTAAGGCAGCAAAAAAGTAGGAATTTTTTTATTAGGTGAGCAAACCCTAGCTCAGGATTTAGAGAGCAACACTGCGCCGTTCAGGTGGGGATGGCTTGCAATGTCAGTTTCACATGGTGATTTGGTGCAGTAGGTGGTGAGGCTGGTATATTTGCTATTCATCAAATCTGCTATCCTAAGCTATAGCCCATATTAATTTGTTATGGTCGCAATATGCACTTGTGATAAATTGCAGAGTTTTTGAGCTGCAGTTCAATATGACTGTCGTGGCTCAGTTCAAGATGATTAGATTGGACACAATAGACAAAATGTGACATGCTTCTTATTCTCCCTTCCCAAACCAATAATGTAGATTTTTCTCCTTTTCCTAGTTAGCTAACCAGCATAGCACTGAACAACTTTTCCTACAAACCGATCATGGAAGTGCTGATGGGCAGCTGTTTTTCATAAAGTTCTGCTTCGTAAGTTCTGCTGCCCTTTTAGCTCTTGCCTCTTGGCAGAGCAGCAGGGGCAGAGGCTGGGAGGGAGTGCCGAGGGTGGCCAGGGGGCTGGCGAAGGCAAGTAGGAGCTGGGCAGAGGAGCGGGGGGGGGGGAGCGGAGAGGAGGGGGCGGGGCCAGAGGGGCCAGGAGGAAGCAGGGGGCGGGGCCACCGGCCTGAGGGGCTGATAAGGCATCATCCCTTGGTCCCTTCCCTGGGGGCTTGGCTCCCCTCCAATTTATTTTTTCTTTCTTTTATCCTTGTGTGTGTGTGTGTGTGTGGGGGTTGTCTGGGAGAACTGGGCGAGTGAGGAGCAGAGCAGCGCAGGACAGACAAGGCGGGGGACCAAGGCAGGGCCTCTGAGGGGTTCCCAATGGCAGACCAGCAGATGGCCCTGGCGGGAGTCACGGGTGTTGCTGTCCGCTGCGACAGCTGCGACACGTTCGCCCTTCTCCCCCAGGAGAGGCAGGGCTACACTTGTCCTGGGTGCAAGCAGGTGTCCCTCCTGGAGGAGGAGGTGCAGTGCCTGAGGGCCGAGAGAGCCCTCCAGGCCCCCCGGGAGCAGCCCCCCTCTGGACAGAGGGTTGAGGGAGAGGCCACGGGAGGAGCAGCCCCAGAGACGTGGAGGCATGTCACCCTCAGGAGGGGGAGGCCAGCACGGCCTCCTCCTTCTCCTGCACCAATCTGGAGCTGGAAAACAGGTCCTCTCTGCTTGGGGAGGCTGGGGCTGTTGAGGCCTCGGGGGCCCAGCAGGACCCCCAGCCTGGGACCACATACGGCAAGAGGGCCGCTGCAGGACGCCCTTTCTGACTCACTCTGTGTCTACGCTTCCATGAATGTTGCTGACTGACATTTTGGTCATTTGGCTCCTTGTTTCCCAACAGTTGCCTGTATGTTGCATTACCAGTGCAATGTACAACCTATCGCGAATGGCAGGCACATAGGTGAGACATCACCATGCCTTATTTTGAGGAAAGACCTCCTATACTCACTTGGTCCAATGCCAAAGAAGACAACAAACAAAAAGACCATGATGATACTGCAATGAGACATCCAGTGAAATGTATTCTGGGAAAGGCAAACAAAGAGAAAGTTGATTATTACAGGGTATTAATAGGATGACAAAACTAAAAATGCCCCCATACTTTTGACTATTCACTCCCCCCATGATGTGGGCCCATCTGGCAGAAAGAGCCATAAAATACGGGCAGCAACACAGAATGCTACACAAGAAAGCTGGTAGCAAAAGGCTTCTAGCAATTACATAGAGGAGACTATGATAAAAACACTAGCCAGAGATAATTTCATTAACCTGCAGAACAGACTGACTTATGCATGCAATATTAAGAAAGGGTGTTACATATATGTAGCACTGCCTGCATTAACATTGCATGGGTCTGCCCACTGTCCTGAGTAGGAGGGAAAGGGTTAATGGTATAGACAAAAGGAGGCTGACCTGTCTACTTGAGCTGTACCTTTCCTGCCCCTTTTCTTCTCAAACCACACCTGAAAAGGCAGAAGGACCACATGACTATTTGTCCCCCACCCCCTTGCCTGAAGAGAAGCAGCATGGTCCTCATTTCCTCTTCTAAGTTAGCCAGCTAAAAATGGACACCGATCCTGTTAAGCATAATGTTTTCAGCCATGCTGACAGACGCCTTTCAGAACAACTCCTTGGGAGTCAGCCTGAAATACAGGACCGATGGGAAACTGTTCAACCTGCGAAGACTCCAGGCTGTCACCAAGATAAAGGAGACTGTGCTACGAGACCTCCTTTTTGCTGACGACTGTGCCCTGAATGCTGGATCAGAGCAGGAAATGCAAGCCAGCATGGACAAATTTGCAGTAGCATGCGACAACTTCAGCCTCCTCATCAACACAGAGAAAACCAAAGTGATGCATCAGCCAGCTCCGAAAGCCCAATACCAAGAGCCCACCATCACAGTGAAGGGACACAAGCTGCAAGCAGTGGACCAATTTACATACCTTGGCAGCACCCTTTTCCGCGCAGTGACAATTGACATCGAGGTCAACTGCAGAATCGCCAAGGCAAGCTCTGCATTCAGCAGACTGCTGACCAAAGTGTGGGACCGCCGTGGAATAAGCCTTGCTACAGAGCTTAAAGTCTACTGAGCAGTAGTGCTAACTACCCTGATGTGTGCCAGGGAGACTTGGACTGTATACAGGAGGCACGCTAAGCAACTGAACCACTTCCACACGACTTGCCTCCGCAGACTTTTGAGGATCCGGTGGCAGAACGAGGTGCCAAACACTAAGGTCCTCTCCAGAGCAGGCCTGCCGTCAGTTCACACGCTGCTGATGAAAGCCCAGACACGCTGGGCAGGCCATGTTGCAAGGATGCCAGACCACCGCATCCCCAAACAGCTCTTCTATGGTGAGCTGTCTCAAGGAAAGCAATCGCACGGGGGACAAAAGAAGCAATACAAAGACACGCTGAAAGCCTCTCTCAAGCCCCTGGTTATCGACACCACCTCCTGGGAGACACTGGCACAAGACCGATCGACACGGCGCACGCTGATCCACCAAGGCTGCCAAACGTCTGAAGCCGGAAGGACAACCATAGCACAAGAGAAGCGAGCGCTCCGTAAATCCAGAGTTGCAAACGTTGCAACAGTGGTGCCCACACATGTCTGCCTGACATGTGGCAGAACACTCCGTGCCTGTACTGGCCTTATCAGCCACCTGCAGACACACCGTGGACAGCTCACAACCCGTTAGATGTCAAGGTCCTCATCGAAAACGATGGACGAACATCATCATCAAGTTAGCCAGCTAAAAATGGACCTTCCTGCCTGAATATACCAACCTGTCTCCCTTCTGCATCTTACCAATGGACGTTTCCAAGTAAATAAGCCTTTTTAAAAACCTTTGTTTAAAAGCCTCTCAGCACAGAGCCTGATGACTCCAGGTGCAAGCAGGAGCCTCTTAACGAAATTTGCTGTTTAATGGTTAACACTGCTGAACCGATATATAACCAAATATATATCCAACAGGTTCCCAACACTGAGGTGCTTTTCTCCCCAGGATTATCTGGCCCACAAGCTCCAGGAACTCTTAGATTATCTGGACCGATTTTGGTAGGAGCTGAGACTGGGTTTTGCCAAGGAAATAGCTTTGGTTCCCTTGTATGGTGACTTATGTTGGATGAAAGACAGCACGAGAATGACTTTGCTGCTGCTTCTGGATCTCTTAGTGGTTCTCAGTACCATCAGTCTTTGTGTCCTCCTGGGAAAACGGTTTGAGCTGGGAATAGAGGAGTGCTGTGCTGCTTGCTTGTGTGCTTTCCCCCATGCGGATGACTGGCTCCAGAAGGTGGTACTGTGTGCACTTCTGGACACCTAAGTTTTAAAAAGATGCAGAAAGGCTGAAAAGGGTATAGAGGATGGTGACAAGGATGATTCAGGGACCGGAGACAAAGCCGTACGAGGCAAAGCCCTGTGAGGAGAGACTGAGAGAACTGGGCATGTTTAGCCTTGAGAAGAGAAGACTTGGGGAGATATGATAGCACTCTGTATCTAAGCTGTCACAAAGAGGAAGGACAGGATCTCTTCTTGTTCATTCCAGTGTAGGACATGGAATATTGGACTTGTTAAAAGAAACGAGACTTAAACTAGACCCTAGGAAGAATTCTGTGACTGTTGGGGGAGTACCACAAAGGAACCTGGGAAGTTCTGGACTCTCTCTCACTGCAGACATTCAAAAAGTGTTTGGACACTCATCCAAATGAGATGGCGTGACTTAATGTCCTGCAATAGCAAGGGGTTGTCCCTCCTAAATTTTTTGTCCCTTGTGGAAAGACAATAAATTCCTCCTTAGAGATTACTTTGCAATTTGCTTTCTTCTTCTGAATAGCCTCATCAAGAATATCTGGTAGCCCCATTGAGAGCACCTGAATCAGAATAAATAAGTGAAGAAATAAAAATAAAATAATAGTTGGAATCTACTTCAAGGAACTTAGTAAGATGAGGATGAAACTTCAATTATCCCAATTTCTGTTGGGAGATATATTTTGCCAAGTGTCCCCTAAAAGAAATTTTGCCAAGTATCCCTATTTAAATGAATTTAGTTCTAAATAAAAAAGAAAAGAAAGATGGATGGCAGATAACTTTCTTCTAGAAAAAATGGAGGTAGGAACAAGAGAATTGGCTGTCCTCAACTCAGTATTGACAAGTAGGGATAACTTAGTGGATAACTTAGTCTTTGACAAAGCGACATTTTATTAGTGAAATACAGTGGTACCTTGGCTCACAAACTTGATCTGTTCCAGGACTCTGGTTGTGACTCAAATTGGTCGTGAACCAAGTTAAATTTCCCCATAAGGTTCAGCGTAAATAAGGTTAATCCATTCAGTAACTATTTTTTTTAAATCAACAATGTGAAGCAAAGTGACAAAGAACAACCAAGATAGCGGCCACCTCCCCCACCCACGCCAGCACGACTGTGATAGCGCTTGTCATCCCTGCACACGCCTGTCATCCTGGCACGTTTGGGTGGGGAGGGAGAGACGGGAGAGAACGCGTGTGCGTTTGGGGAGCGGGGAGACAGGCGCCGTCGTGCTGGGGGCGGAGGGGCAGGTGGCTGGGATCACAGTTGTGCTTGTGCAGGGAAGACCTCGGCCATCTCCCCCACCCCGCTGCCCTCAGCATGACTGCACCATCTCCCCACTCAGGGTGGGGGGATGGGGGGTGGCCACGATCGTGGTCGCCACCCAGTGCAGGCAGGGTCTGCGACCTGAGTCAAAATTTTAATGAAATTTTTGCTCACAACCCGATTCAGTCACGAGCTGAGGCGCCACTGTAGCCAAAAGCGGGCTAGACGGAGCAACTGTGCAGGAGAACGTGGGCACTCCCGCCCTGGAGGCAGCTGGCCCGGTGCTATTTATCAGGGGTGCCTTGCCTGGAGCAGGGCCTTGGGCTTGATGGCCTTAGAGGTTTCTTTCAACTCTATGATTCTATGATTCTCCGCTTGTGAGATCAATAGGACTAAATGCAGCTGCCTAGCTCTCTTAATTCCCTCTGACTTCTGTCAGCATGACAGAAAGTAGGGAAGAAGAGAAAACTTGGGCCCTTTCTCAGCAGGAGTGAAGCCCTGATGTTCCAAGCAAAACAAAAACCGTAGGGCAGCTAATTCCTCGCCCTTCCTAATTTCAACAGAAGAGGAGCTAGCTGAGTGCTGAGCCTGCTCTGTGGCCCAGTGAGCACTAGAAAGAAATGCCCAGGCGCCTTTTCCATCTTACCTGCACAGACAGAGTCACAGTGAGGAGGAGCAGCATGGCGGCCATCATGCCACAGCCTTTCCACAGGAGGGGCCTCCGGCCAAACCTTTCAATGGCAAAAATCTGAAGGAGGGAAAATATTGGCAATTTTCTGTGAGCAGGTATCTGGGACATTTCTGAGTATAAATCTATTTTAAAAATCACATTATTTTTCCTGCTATAAAATACCTCACTGAACATGTTGCTTAAAACAGAAACAGATTTGAAGCTGAAATAATAATTAATAATAATAATGCAAGCAGCAAATATAGGGGAGAGCAGATGGTAGGCCCCTCTGGGAGACAGAATGCCACATTCTGCAGCAGAGCTGAGGACATTTCAGAAAGGGTATAAGTTCAACAACAGACACTTCCGCCCATAGTAGTGTTTCCTTGTGTGTATTGGTATATTTATTCTTAAGAATCTTGAACAGATTCTTCCTAAGGCACTGGATTCCTGCATTTTCCCTGCCATCATTCTTTTTTTAAATCTTTTTAAAATAGATTGAAAAAAGAAATTTCTATTCATGTTTCTTTTTAAAATAGAAAACCTTCTAATCCATGTTTAAAACCTCAATTGCATACAACAGCCCAAACATTTATTAAACCACTGTCCCTCCATTGACATTTTGCCAGCCTTCATGCCACTGGCATTTCTCGTACTGCCCCCATTTCCGTCTCTGGTGAAACTGACACATCTTCCTTTGGGCACTAGCCTTGTCTCCTGCCCTGACAGCTTGCTTTTTCACTGGTCTTGACAAGTTGTTTCGAGATGCCTGATGCTGAAAAGTTTAAACTAGGATGATTTGGAATTAAGGTTGCCCAGATGAGGAAGGAAAAAGGGGTTAAAGGTTAATTTCTCAATGATATTCTAATTTACTGACCAAAGATGCATAGCATCACAAGAGCCCAGTGACAAGCGAGGATGCACTGATCACTGTAGGAGAGGGTTCGGAAATATTACTATAAACATCTGAATGATGATAAAAGATATTTGTGCAAGTGAGGCAATAGAGTGAGGGAGTCACACTTCCAAAATAAAAAGTCTGGTCTTACACAGAGCAAAGAAGAGGCAAGCTCACAGAATCCAATGCCCAGTGCCATGTAAGGAATGAGGTCCTCTTCTAAACCAGCATTGCGGAACACTTCAAATGCATAGAAATAGACCTATAGAAAAACAGACTGATGCCAAAGAGGGCAAAAACCTTTTTCTGGCAGATCAATATGCATCTCTCAGCAGCTTTTGGGACTCTGGATTTGCACATGCTAGCAGTTCTGCTCTAGCCACAACAAATATACAGAATGGCAGAGGTGAATACACAATATAAGGTGTGCATTGTATGATTTTGTTGGATGTATTTTTTCTGGGTTGGGGTCCTTGGACTGCCCGTAAGTACTGCTTAAAGTTTCAGTGGTTATTTCAGAAGCAAATGTCCTGGGAGGGAGAAGCCTCATTTTCTTCTGGAACCAAGACTCAGAGAGCATTCCTGGCACTTAACAGTCTAACACTCCACATTCTAAACCTGTTTCTCCTTGTTTTGCCTCCTGTTATTCTCATATTCACCCCTCATTATCTAATCTAGTCCAGCCAGTCAGGACTCAGCCTGCTGCCTCATAGCTCTAGGGCAGAGGTCCTCAAGCTTTTTCAATGGGGGCCAGTTGAAAGGTGCCTGTGCTGGGTGTGGGCCGATGAGGGGGTGGGGGGCACGCCCAGGGCGCGCGGGCGAGGCAAGGCGAGGCGGGAGCCGGCGCGCCCAGGGGCGGGCAGAGAGGCAGCGGCTGGCTCTCTTGGAGATCGTTTTCTCTGAGCAAGTCCAAAATGATCTTTGCACAGGCAAGCCCCCACCTCCCCAGGTGCGCGGCGAGGTGGGCGGCGGCAGGGGCAGGTGCGGCGAGTCTGAGACCTCTGAGGCGGGCCGGATAAATGGGCATGGCGGGCCGTCGTTTGAGGACCCCTGCTCTGGGGCTTTCAGGCAAATAACTTCTTTAGAGAAGCCAAAAAATGTGAAGGCGGGACTCTAGGAGAGACAGTGAGGTGTAGGGGTTTTAGATCGGAGTACCTGGGTTCTAGTGTCACTTCGGCCATGACTTTGGGCCGGTCACTGACTTTTAACCTAATCTGCTTTACAGGATCCTTGGAAATAAATAATCAGTGCATAATAATGATAATAATAGTACATTGCCACCTTTCTGACCATGCCCAGGGGAAATATTCCAGGCATTGAACCAAGACACGTAACTGCATTGATACCAGAGAGCTGCAGGGTGAGGATGATAGCAACAAGAATATGCAGCTGTCGGCGCAGGCCTCCATTTCTGAGCAGCTCTCCTGCACTTAGTGTGTTGCACCCTGTGTCCCTCTCCTTCTTCAGATCACTGAGTTCCTCCTGATGGTCCCCTGGGCCCCAGAGCTGGTGCATGGCTGCACAAACAGAAAAGAGGAGATGTCTTCATGCCAGATACAGAAGTGGAGGGGCTGGGAGGGAGCTGCTGGACCCCGGCTCTTTCTCCTTCCCAAATAACCTCAGTGGAGCACAGACAAATGAAATGCTGAAACAAGTTATCCCTCCTAAAGAAGTAAATTGTGTAGTGGGCCTAAGATCAGAGAGAGAATGGGGGTGGGTGATCTGCCACACAAGACTGTGTTCTGATCTATCCTTGGCTTCCAAATCATCTCAGGTAGCAGAGATTAAGAGCCATACTGAATATAAAACGTGAAACTTGTATATCTTAGCAGCGTCCCTCATACAAAGTTGTGGGGGGGGCGCATTTTTGGAGAAGGAGATGTGGCTAAGAGGGGATGCTTTACATTTGCCTAGCCTGATTCTCTTCTTCAGTGATCCCTTTCAGGGGTTTTTTTAAATAGGTTCCCAACAAGCTCCAAACTAGCCAATGGACCCCAGTTCAAATCTCATTAGCTTCAGTTAGTCTCTTTCATCCTAAACCACCTCTTAGTTACAAGGACAAGAGGGCAATATTTTCCCTGAACTCCCCAGAGGAAAAATGAGGCAAAAGTTAATAAAATGAGGGGCGGGGGAGCCAATCTTAAGCTATAGAGAAAAAGTTTGAGTGATTTGGGAAAAAGAACTGATAGGCATGGGAATCCTTTAAGTGCTGGCATACATTGTTCTCTGGCTCTCTCTCCATCTCTCCCTTCTTCCTCCCCCAATTACCTATTGTCTTGGTGAACACGGCTTACATCTCAGGCGGTTGTGTTCAATTTGCTAAGGAACCCTGTGAAAAACTTACCCTTCAAGCAGCCTCCTTCATCCCCTTTCTGGATTAAGAGGTATGGTGGAGACTCAGGGAAGAACGGCAGGGCCAGCAAATGGAGCAGGGCTATCGCACCGATAGAGGCCAGGAGCCACGGCCAGGAGGATTCTGTTCCCAGAAGCTCCCTGGAGAGCAGGAGAGCCAGAAATCGGGAGCCGTGCCTAGGCAAAGCCTCCAAGCTTTCCAAGGAAAGCACCACCTCCTTTCTCCTTTCCAAAGATGCTTGTGTACCTGAGCCCTAGAATTTGGCCCAAGGATTTTCCCAGGGACCAAAAGAATCCTGATGTGGCATTAGCAAATCCTCGTAGCTTCTTGGTGGAAATTTCACCAGCATACTGAGGATGAATGGTCATGCAGAACCCTGGAAAGAAGGAAGGACAATATAAAAATAAGATTCAAGAATAAAACAATGCCACAAAAGTTTTCTGGTACTGGAATTGTTGCATCTACCCTAACAATGCAACTGGGCAGCTATCTGACAGGGATTGTTTAACTTGGAGTCCTGCTGCGAGGAAGGGTTTAGACCCGATGACCCTCTGGCCCCTTCCAACTCTATGAAACTTATTTATTTATTTATTTACATTTTTATACAGCCCCCACAGCCAAAACTCTCAGATCTCAATTCTCTCACACCCAGGCTGCTTGCTCAATATTTTACATATACACCCAAAGCACTTTCAGGTGGTTATTGATACCTAAAGAATTAGGGTTAGAATCAAAAAATTCTTAATTGGCATCAGAAACAGCTTGCTCCTATAGTGAATTCACTAAAAGGCATTTAATAGCAAATAACACAGACCACGAACTATTTGCTTTTAGAGTCCTTTGCCAAAAGCCAAGAATGTACACAGAGAACTGGTAAGGTCCAGCTAGTTAGTGGATGGCAAAATGCTCAGTTCCTACTTCACCTCAGTTTTTTCCCACAAGAAGCTTTGAGTTTGGTTATATGGGGTGCAGTTCCTTTTTGTATACATGTATATATGCAAACATGTAGTCATTTTATATAAAGTTATAGTAATTTTACATATACAAGCACATATACATGCAACTAAATACATACAGACAGGTATTTACTAGCCTATTTCTTAATGACGTGCTGCTGGTTTATTCTTCCATTTGGGATATTTCTGCCTGCACTTTTCAAGAACCCAATACCTGTATTAACACTACATGGTTCTGCCTGTAGCCAGAGAGTACAAGGGTTAATGCTACAGACAAACTGAGACTGTTCAATTCTCCTCTCACCTCACAGGGAAAGGCAAAGGGGTCACTGGGCCAGTTCCCGCCTCTCCATGTGCGCTTCCTTCTCCTTTCTCTAAGCTAACAAGCCAACAACGAACCTTTCCTTTTCAGCCAAGATATCCTGCATGACCATACAAATATCACTCCTTCGTGCAAGTTACATAATGGACCTTTGTGGACCCTGTTTATGGGTCCCTCAGTGTGGTTTCTAACAGATTCAGGTGCAAACAAAAGCTTATTAACGAAATCTGCTGTTTAAGGCTTTCCTCTGCTAAACATATATAACACCAAATATGCAATGGATTCCCATTGTCATGTGTAAAGCGACTTGCCCCCTCAACGATTTTCTGGGAGTGCTTGCACGAAGGAAAAGTCTTACCTGCACTCACTCCAAAGAGGAATCGACCGATCAGAATCATCTCAAAGGACTTGGCTCTCTTGCTGAGCCCCACAAGAAGGGCTGTTACTAGGATGAGCAGGTCTGTGCCCAGGAGGCTCTTCTTTCTGCATCCGGCCACGGCACAGGAAACAGGTGAGCAGGGGGAAATAGCATTACTCATCTTTCTCTTCCACAGAGCAACAGCCCCCTTGAGTCTGCAGCACCCCAACGACACCCCTGCACTCGCCAGAGCATTCTTGCATTCTTCACCTTTCTGCCATCATGACCACCATGTTTGGAAAAGAGCATCATATAGTGGTGAGTCATAATTCCATTTAGGGTAGCTACTCCCAGGTAATTCCCATTATGCTCGGTGGCATTTAATTCTGACATAGGATTGCATTGTCATTTTATAGATTCTTTTCAATGTCAAGGTTACAAGGAAAGTTACAGCTATGCTAAAATACAATATAACCACAATAATAAAATAATAGCTAAATGACACAGGAATTCGAACACTGGAAATTTGAAACATACTGGTATAGAATTAATAAAATTCAAGAAAGGATAATCTTGCAGGTACAGGGGAGGCCACAGTGTTATTTGGAGCTCCAGCCTATGACCTCCCTCAACACCTAGGGACTCCAGAGGCTGAACTCCTGCCCTGGCCCTCCTTGCAGCCAGTGCAGAAAGAACAGTGCCAACTGGGCCTCAGAGAGGTTGGAAAGTACAGTAAAACCTTGGATTGCGAGCATAATTCGTTCCGGAAACATGCTTGTAATCCAAAGCACTTGTATATCAAAGCGAATTTCCCCATAATGTAAATAAGGCTAATCTGTTCTGTAATTTTTTTTTTTAATCACACAAATTTGAAGCGGGCGCACTCAGGGGGGGGGGCGGGCGTGCTGGGGGGGGGGGAGGGGGCATCATGGGTGGAATGGGGGGGGGGGCACAATTGCAGGCATGCTGGGGGGGAGGTGGGCACAATTACAGGCTCGCTTGGGCGGAGGGAGACAATGCTGTACTCACACCCGCAGCAAGAGACAGGAGAACTGACGCTCAGTTGTGATGTGACGCTCGGAAGGCAAAGCACAGGTAATACTCGTACTGCAAGACTTTGCTCATTTGTCAAGTTAAATTTAGAAAAACTTTTTGCTCGTCTTGCAAAGCACTTGCAGACCAAGTTGCTCGCAACCCAAGGTTTGACTGTAGTGTGCTGGGGATAGGAAGGAGAGACTGGGTCCCAGGGCTTCTGCAGAGTCCTATCGTTGTCCCAGTCCCGTTCCTTCCCTTGCTCACTTGACTCGTATGGCCACTGCCAAACCTCCCTTCATACATTGGATGCACGTGCGTTTCCAAGTTCAGTGGTTTATGTGTATTTAAAGTGGAAAATGTTGGATTGCGCACATTGAGTTTTGTTTTGGGCTGTGAGGAAATGCTTTGGAAGCTGTATAGCTTGTTTCCATACTTTCCAAATTTCACGGTCAGGAAGCCACTGAAGACACAGCCCATGAAACCTCCTACTCCATAGATGGACACAATGACTGACCACAGGAACAGGAGGGTCTTTTCGTGGAGGGAGGATCCAGTTCGCTCAAACCAGGTTTCATTCATAAACTTCTTAATATACTGAGATGGAACAGAAAGGTGTTTTGATTATTAAGGCTACATTATCATTCTGCACTTTTACCTCTTCATGAGGATTTGCATTGACCACCCAAAGATAATCTGGTAAACGATAGTTTAGGGCTTGGCTTTATGGTATTTCTTTGCAAACTGCTTTGCTTTTCAATAGAAAAGACATGGTATAAATACTAATAACCCTAAACCCAATTTGGTGGTTGTTTTCCAATTGAGATTGCCATTTCTTCTTTCCTGAACTGTGATTTTGGGGCAGTAGGTAAAAACGCAGCAAGTCTTTTCAGAAGAAGGAAGCACTTCTTCTGGTTGCCTGCACTGCCCTTTCCTCCTCACACACTCCCCTCCCTTCTCCTTTCCTCCTCTCTAGATTAAAAATTGCCTTCTTTGTCATGCTGAGGAAATCTTATGCCTTGCAGGAACAGGGAGTACAGTGTTCCACGCCATCCAACCTCACAATACTGGAGGCCACCTTATACTGAACTCAGACCTTGCCTGATAGGCCTCAGCAGGTCTCCCTTCGGAGATGCAGGCAGGCTTCCTTTCTGACCCTAGAGATCAGACCTGGGACCCTTTTGTGTGCCCGAAAAGGAATCTCCCCACAAGAGTACCAGTTCCTTTCCCAAAAGGGTGTTCTGTTCTTTCAATTAATTCACAGGAGAAAACCTCATTAACAGGAAATGTTAGCCTGTTAAACTGAAGCCAATATACTTTCAGTATATCAGTCAGAACTGGCATGAAAGTTCAGTTCAACCAGCAGTCACCAACCCATTCCTTGTGCCTACAAGCTGGCCTAGTGAAGCCTGAGGGGACTGCCTTGGCTTAGGAGACGAGGGGCCAACCACTCCTCAAGAGGAGATGCTCTTACCACAGAGGGGCTGTTGATGGCCGATATCTGATAGCCAACGGGCAGGCTCCCACCAATTCCCAGCACAAGGATCATTTGAAAAAACATCTGATATTGAACCTGCAAGGGAAGATTATGCTCAAAAGCAAGCCAAGGAAAAATACATTTATCATCCCTCCCTTCAAGCCTTGTTTTGTTTTATATTTTCGTTTTCTTCTTCTTGTAAGCCATCCTGAGACGCTTATGGTGGACGGCCTTTAAAGGCTTTTAATAAAATAAATAATAAAAAATATACTCTTATGGTATGACTAAACCATAGTGATTTGAAGAAATGAAGCTCAGCACAAGAACATTCCAGGTTCTCCCAGTAAATTAAATTCAGCTTGGAGCACAAATGAGGTTAAAGATATTTTACCAGCATACCACATGGTTATTTGATGGGTTTTGGAAATTCCATGAAATAAAGTCAAGTAAACTTCATGGAACATTGTTTTTTAAGTCAAATGGACAAGCAAGGAGAAATACAATGCCGCCGCCTGGTCCACAATTAATGGATGAATTTCAGTTATTGCTGCCTGATGATGTGGACAAGGTGCTTGGACAAGTACGTCCCACCACTTGCCTATCGGACCCTTGCCCATCTTGGTTAATAAACAACGCCAAGCACGGGATTGGGATCTGGATCTTGGAAGTGGTTAACGCTTCTCTGAGGGAGGGTCGGGTACCTGCCTCTTTAAAGGAGGCGGTAGTCTGACCGGTCCTGAAGAAAGCGTCACTGGATCCAGAGATGGCCACCAATTATAGACCAGTGGCCAACATCCCGTTTTTGGGCAAGGTGTTGGAGCCAGTGGTGGCGGGACAACTCCAAGCACTCTTGGATGAAACTGATTATCTGGACCCATTTCAGTCAGGCTTCAGACCCGGGTACGGTACTGAATCTGCCTTGGTCGCCCTGTATGATGACCTGTGCAGGGAGAAGGACAGGGGGAGTGCATCCCTGTTGGTTCTTCTGGACCTCTCAGCAGCTTTCGATACCATCGACCACGGTATCCTTCTGGATAGGCTAGCGGGAGTGGGGGTCAGAGGCACTGCTCTGCAGTGGTTCCCCTCTTATCTCAATGACCGTTTCCAGAAGGTGGTGCTGGGGGACTATGGCTCTGCGCCATGGCAGCTATGCCATGGAGTACCACAGGGGTCCATTTTGTCCCCTTTGCTGTTTAACATCTACATGAAACCGCTGGGAGAGGTCATCAGGAGGTGTGGGCTGCGGAATCACCAGTACACTGATGATACCCAGCTCTACCTCTCGTTTTCCACCAATCCAGGTGAGGCAGTGGCTGTGCTGAACAACCGGTGCCTGGCTGAGGTAATGGGCTGGATAATCTGAAGCTCAATCCAGACAAGACGGAGGTCCTGTTGGTCGGTGGATCGAGCTTCGGAGAGGGTGAACTGAACCTAGTCCTGAATGGGGTTGCACTCCCTCTTAGGGACAAGGTCTGCAGCTTGGGAGTGCTCCTCGACCCAGAGCTTTCACTGGAAACTCAGGTGACAGTGATGGCAAGCAGCGCTTTCAGCTTCGGCTGATCCATCAGCTGCGCCCCTACCTGGAGTACGACTGCCTGGCGACAGTGACACATGCGTTGGTGACTTCCCGACTTGACTTCTGCAATGCGCTCTACGTGGGGCTACCCTTGAAGACGGTCCGGATACTTCAATTGGTTCAGAATAGAGCTGCCAGGCTGTTGACGGGACTGGGCGTTATGCTCACATGACTCCAGTCCTCCGTCAGCTTCACTGGCTTCCCATTGAAGTCTGGGCCCAATTCAAGGTGTTGGTGATCACTTATAAAGCCCTAAACAGCTTGGGTCCTGGCTACCTGAAGGAGCGCTTACGTCCATATATGCCCACCTGCCCCCTGAGATCAGAAGAAGAGGCCCTTCTCCGGGAACCTTCCGTGAAGGAAATTAGGAGGATAGGTACTCGGAGGAGGGCTTTCTCTGCTGTGGCGCCCAATCTATGGAATGCGCTCCCCAGAGAGGTCCGCCTGGTGCCGTCGTTATTTATTTTTTGGCGCCAGGCGAAGACCTTTTTATTCAAGCGTCATTTTAATTGCTAATGTTATTTTTATTTTAAAGTTTTTTGGCCAGGATGACTTATTTTATACAATTACGTGTATTTTATATTGCTATTTATGTATTTTAATTTATCTATTTGTAAGCCGCCCCGAGGCTTCGGTGAAAGGGACAGCCTAGAAATTTTCTAAATAAATAAATAAATAACTACTCAGATCGGATAGGCAGGCTGGCGGCTATGCTGGATGATGGGACCTCACATGCCTCCTCAGGGCAAGATGATGACGAAGAAAGACTGACCTGGGGCCACTTGACTCCTGCCTCCAAGCCGAGGGGCTGGCTAGAGTGTCGCACCGCAAAGGAGCACAGACTGCCTGAGGCTCCATGCCAAGGGGAACGGGGGGGGGGTTGCCCCACGGGTGGCAGCAGCCTGCCTTGTGCCGCAGGAGCGTCTCCGCGTGCAGGCCGGGCCCCACACCCCTCGATCCACTCTTGGGTTTGACGCGTGAGGCACAACTGGCACCTGATGTGGCCGCGGCGGTGACACTCATCACAGGGCATGTGTGACTCACCAGTGTGGCGCACAGCCCCTCCATCAGGTTCACAAGCGTGCTTGCAGAAGCAAAGAGCCGCTGGCCTCCGAACGGGTTCCTTGCTGCTGTGCGGGCAAAAACTGCAGCACCCAAGTCATGAATTCCAGCTACTTGGCTGTGCCCACTTGCTTCCATTGGTCGAAACTGAAAATTAATCAACCATTAATATATGCACTGCACCAGAGTGCAACGCTTCACAGTGGAAAAGGTGAAGCTTACTGAACTCTGAAATCTAAACACATCGGCCTTCTCTACTGGTTGTGATCATTGTTCTCCTGTGATTTCAGAAAGAAAATTCAAGGTGATCTTAATAGGTTGGACTGCTAGACTGAAAACAAAAGAATGAAATTCACTAGGGACAAATGCCAAGTTCTGCACCAAGGAAAAAGAAACCAGATGCATTACAAGATGGGGAATACTTGGCTCAGCAATGCTGCAAGTGAGAGGGAGGGTGGTGACCCGGTGGAGGGCCTTCTCTGTGGTGGCATCCTGATTGTGGAACATGCTCCCCAGAGAGGTTCACCTGGTGCTGACACTTTTTTCCTTTCTGTGTCCGGAGAAAACATTTTTATTTTACCATTATTTTAATGTTTAATCTGTTTTAATGTGGCTTTCATATTATTGTATTACTGGATTCTGTGCCCTATTTTCTGTTGCTTTGTTGTAATCCATCCCAAGACACCAGTAGATGGACAGTGTATAACAAACAAACAAAAGTCCTAAACAAGCAAAGAAATATACAGTTCCACCATTCGGAGCATCTTCAACTCCTTCTGATTTGTTGTGAGTTCTGGTTTGTTTAATAGAATGTCTTTTTTCTCATGAACCAATAACCATTTTGTATGTGTCAGGACCAATTGAACAAAACCTTTGCCCTAACCCTAAAAGAACAGCTTTTAAGAAGCTGTTAAACATAATATGAACAGCTTCTAAGTCATGGGTCCTCAAACTACGGCCCGGGGCTGGATCCAGCCTGCCATGCCCATTTGGGCCTGCCGCGTGTGCGCCCCACCCCGCCACCGCCCGCCTTGCCTCGCATGCCGGAGGCAGCGGTTTGCTTGTTGAGAGAAAACGATCTGCCTTGTGTGCCCGCCTCGTGGCGCAGGCCCTCCCCTGCCCGCACCTCGCCTCACCGTGCCTCATCGCACGTTCCACCCCCACCTCAGCCCCTGCCTCCTCATCGGCCCGCACGCACCACCGGCACCACCTTTCCGGCCCGTGCCCAGCACCGGCACCTTTCGACTGGCCCCCTGGTGGGAAAGTGTGAGGACCCCTGTTCTCAGTCTTGCTCGCCATCACAGTTTGCCTCTCCTCTGGAAGGATGCTCTTATATATGCTTTACCTTTCCTGAAGGTTCATTCCGTACTGTGGTGCCAGAACCCCAATCACTACCTATATTGCTACTGATCCACACCCCTCCTTTGGGGCATACCTTCGGCATGCTAATACTGGCCTTTTCGGAAGGGTCTTCTTTCTCTGTTATTTTAAATTGCCACTGTTTTCTCTTAATGGGCCATTGGCAAAGGGTAGCATCATCCCCCAGCGGATCCACAAACCCCTGGCCAAACTGTATGTAACTGGTAGGTTCTAAAAGCTTTTTGTATACTCTGACTAGTTACATCAGGGGTCCTTAAACTTTTTGAACAGGGGGCCAGTTGAAAGGCTGCGGTGACCTTCGAGGGCCAGTGTGGTGCAGGTGCCTGGGGATGCGGGCCGGTGAGGTACACGAGGTGGCCTCGGGCATGCGGGGTGGTGGCTCGCTCGCTCAGGTATCTCCCAGCGAGTCCAAAACCATCTCTGAGCGAGCGAGCCACTGCCTCCCCGCCCACACAGCAAGCGTGCGCACGGGCAGCAAACAGCGGCCCGGGCCGAATGGATGACCGTGGCGGGCTGGATCCATCCCGTGGGCTGTAGTTTATTTATTTATTTATTTAGAAAATGGCTATGCCGCCCTATTCGCTGAAGCCTCAGGGTGGCTCACAAATATATCAATTAAAATATTATACAGTAAAAATATAAAACAAGTTAACAATATAAAATAAGTTGCCCTGGCCAAAGAATAAAATAAAGAATTAGTATTAACAGTTAAAATGACGTTTGAATAAAAAGGTCTTCGCCTGGCGCCGAAAAACAAATAACGACGGCGCCAGGCGGACCTCTCTGGGGAGCGCATTCCATAGATTGGACGCCACCGCAGAGAAAGCCCTCCTCCGAGTAACCACCCTCCTAACATCCTTCACGGTAGGTTCCTGGAGAAGGGCCTCTCCCGCTGATCTCAAGGGGCAGCTGGGCATATATGGATGTAAGCGCTCCTTCAGGTAACCAGGACCCAAGCCGTTTAGGGCTTTATAGGTCATCACCAACACCTTGAACTGGGCCCGGACTTCGATGGGAAGCCAGTGAAGCTGACGGAGGACTGGAGTCATGTGAACATAACGCCCAGTCCCCGTCAGCAGCCTGGCAGCTCTAGTTTGAACCAATTGAAGTATCCAGACCGTCTTCAAGGGTAGCCCCACGTAGAGCGCATTACAGAAGTCAAGTCGGGAAGTCACCAACGCGTGTGTCACTGTCGCCAGGCAGTCGTACTCCAGGTAGGGGCACAGCTGATGGATCCATGAGGATCCATGAGGACCCATGATTTGAGGACCCATGAGCTACATGTTCATCTGTTTTCCTGCATAAATTGTTATTCTGTTACAGAATAAACTGTAACTGTTCCTTTGATTGTACACTCCCAGCAAACTAACTTTGGGCCCCTTTTTTCATGCTAGAAGTTTGCAACAACATATGTTTAATAAATTCCCATGTAGAAACAAGCATTCTAGCTCCCCCATCATGGATCGGAGGCTTCTAGCTTTTAATACACCCATACCCTGTTTTCGCTTGATCTTTGGTGGCTTGATATTAGCTTGTGCTATATGCTGATGGCCTATTTCTACCAAGTCCCATCCAGACAAACTTCCAGTCACCTGTATGGGAAAAAAAGTGCCATTTCATGAGGCACTCCAATAATTGTGGTTGCCTGAAGCCAGGTAAACTTTTACAGGATAAAACCAGCATGTGGATTGGGATCAGTAGCACAGATACAGCCAGAGCGAGCAGAGCAGAACTCGACATGCGTTTGGAGCTGCAGGTCTCAGTTATTGATCTGGAGGCCACATGCTGCACCAGCGGCAGCTTCTGAACTGTCTTCAGGATCAGCACCACTTCGAGTGCGTTGCAATAATCCAGGTTAGAAATCACCGAAGCTAGGCTATCCCTGTCCAGATAGGGAGGCAGTTGGGCCATGGGCCCACGCTGGTAGAAGATGCTCCAAGCCTCCGATGCCACCCAAGCTTCAAGTGATAAAGAGGATCAAGGAGCGCCCCCTAGCTTTGAATCCAGGGTCAGAGCAGCCATATCTAGAACAGGTTGAAAATCCCCAATCCAGTCAAAAGAACCTGCTACCAACAATGACTTGGTCTTGTCTGAATTGAGTTTGCTGAGCCAAATGCAGTCCATTCTTGTAGGCAGGCACTTTTTTAGCACATCTGCAGCCCTACCTGCTAATCATGTTAGAAGGAGTGATAGCAATGCATTTCGAAACTCCAGATGATCCCACTCAGTGGATGTTGAATAGCATGTAGGACAGAGCCCTGAGGAACTCCTTGCTGGAGAATCCAGGGACTGAACAGTAGCACCTTCTGCAGCCAGCCCTCCTAATAGGATTGGAGCCACTACAACACAGTGTCCTTCCCCCCAACCCCTATAATGCAACTCCACTTCCTCTCCTATTTCTTCTGCTACTTTTGAATAAGTCATATGCATCAGCTGCTTGTATTCCAGTTTTGGGAGTCCTCACACCAAGTGTCCCTAGTACATATGACATCTCATTTTCTTTCACGTATTAAGGGTGGAAGTTAATTCTGTTTGTTTCCCATTCTCTGGGAAATGTATTTTATGTGTGTGCCCATGTTTTATGGTTTGGCTTCTTTCCTACATTACTGAACAGACAATTTTGGGGTGGTAACAGGGCTCTTCTTCTGTTATGGTACATGTGACTGTATTAGGTGGGAGGGGGACACTAAAGATGCCTCGTTCCCTTACTCCCATGAGGAATGACACAAGGAAGCCAGTGCACTCACCAGGCCTGTTGATTGCCATGTGCAACTCCCGAGTCTGTGCTGCACGAAGCGCCAAAGCCCTCACCTGCTCCAGGCCTCTTCTCTCCTGTCTCTATGGCCCCGAGTGGTGTCGCCCCTGCAGCAATGGGAAGTTGTATGCCTTGCTCACAGGGTTTCCCCTTGCAGCTTGCGTCTGTTAGGAAAATTTGAATAAATCCTGTCAGAAAAACAATACTTCTGTGTGCTGTGGCATTGTCTCCCAGGAGGACTAATAGCCTTGGGGTTGCATATCATGTGTTTTGAACTGTCTTTTTTTTCTTTCTCTTTGCTGCTTTTCCAATTGTTTTCCATTTTTCCTACTCTTTGAACGCTCAGCAAATACACAAGTCTCCATTGTACGAAATAATTTTCTCCTCACATTAGTTTGGTTTTGAGATGGAAGCTGTTTTATGGAAAAAAGCTTGGAACAGGATTTATTCAAACTGACTCACTTGTTTGTGTCACATAGCGAAGCTAGTGACGAAGGGGGGATTGTTGGGAAAATTTGGGTAAATCTTGTCTGAAAAGCATTACTCCTGTGTGCCTTTGCATTGTGGGATCAAATCCTGTCTTCCTTCTCAAAACCAAGCTGTCACTGTTTAAAATGGCATCTCCCCCACCACTCCTTTCTCTCACCTTTAGCTGTAGGCTACAGTAGGCCATTTTAGCCCAAATATACATTGTAAATAGTCATTGCTGGAATTCAGTTTACAATAATCTTTTGATAGCCCAGAGGGCTTCATGTGCCCTGATCATGCAGAATGTCTAGAGTCGAGATAGGGGTCTGAGCTTATCATGAATAGTTTCTAGTAGCTTGAATTTACAGACCTGGAGATGGGTTCAAGTTACTCAACTAAAGCGTCAATACAATGCAATTAGAAATATTGTATTCTCGTTGTTACAGTATGATTGACTGGCATTCTTTTGTCTGTTCTGTATGTGATGACCTCAGAACCTTATTGCAATGTCTGCATTCTGTCATCAATTGCCCTGTGCCTGTATGTGACTGGGAGGGTATAAAAACCCTGCAGTGGTGTTGAAGCTTTGCAGCAGAGCTCACCTCTGCCTGCCCGGTAATGCATGCATGATCGTGAGTACGGACCCGCGGGAACCTTGGGGTAATACAATAAAGCCTCAGATGGTCTGGACGCTTGGTCTTTCCCACGAACCCTGTGAGTCCGTCACTATCTCCATGCACATCTCTTCCTCTGCTCCTCTCCCTCTCCCACTCCTCCCCTTTCCCCTTCTCTGCTTCCTCTTTATACCCTCTTCTCACACACCACTCCACCCAACCCAGTTGTTCCTTCCTGTGCGCTCGCCCGCATCTCCCGGCCCTTGTCCCGTGTGTTGCTCTGCCCAAGCAGATTCCCAGCCGTGTCCCGTTGTCTTCGTCCCTGCTCCCTTGGATGCCCCGGGAAAATGGGCGAGCCCCTCTACCTCCTCACATTACATTACGTCTTATGAACAGGAAGGCCCCATACAGTCAGACATCCTCTCCTGCAGCTCCCACTGACTCCCCTGATGCCTTCTTACCTGCCCTGGTACTGCTGTGCTCCTTTCTTCTCCTTCCTCCATTTTTTAATTTTTGTGGCTGCAAAGGAAAGCCCTTGCCTACAGATTTATTCTTTCCCAAGGCATTCAGGGAAATAGAAAAGGCCAGTGTTTGTAAGAACCAAAATTTCAGCTGCTGCTGAGAAAATTATTATGGTTAATAATAATAAGAGGGGACTTTTCTTCTTACTCAAGGAGGTCTTTCTTACATAAAGGAGATCTTTTAGACTTCCTCAGATATACAAGTCAATATAATTTTCCATGCTACACATGAAACAGCACTTCATCAGTTTGAATTCTTGATAAATTTGAAAGCTTTTCTTATATTGATTTACAAATTGTAAAATTCATTGTGCATTCCGAGTGTTCTACAAATTATTTTCAAATCTGGTTACACTGTAACACTAAGAAAATCACACCAACATAATTCCTAGAAAAGTACCTTACTCCTCTTCAGAAAATCTTGAATATTTATTGCCAGAGTCCCCCACCCACACCCAAGACATTTTGTGATAACATTTTGATCTAAATTCCCAGTATTTAGAAGAAAGCCTTGAAAACCTATCTGTGCACAAGTTTGGAATACAATGAAATAAGGACTTTTACAGACAGAGTAAGAGAGTTTGATTGCCCAAACTGGCTTGAATAATTGCCTGGGGAGAGAGACACCTGTTCCTTTCCCACTGGCTGTTCAGCTCTCTTATGAAGTTACAGCATGGTAGACTGGAGGTTATCAGGATGTGTCCAAGAATTCTCACAGTTCTTAGTTTTGAAGTTGCGCTTGTTGAATTCTTCTGAGCTTTCCAGAAGAGTTTTCCCTTTTGTCTCAGGGAAGAAGAAACTGGCATAGAAAGCAGTGCAGACACAAACGATGAAGAAAGGAAGGTAACAGTAATACCCCAGAGCTTCCTGCATGGAAAAAGAAGGAAAAGGTATCAAAATCGCAAGGCACCCCACATGCATTCCAATGGATTTATTGTATGAGCACCTTTTCCTTTCTTCTGTCTTCAGATGCAAGACCATCCCAGGATCCTGGAAGACCTTGTTGCCTAAACAAATTTCTGCCACAGTCCTTTTGAACGTATTTTCATCTATAAGGGTTGGGCAGAGTCAACTATGGAAATGGCTGCAGCCCCCGTGGTTAACCGACATTAGGCTGCTGCACAAAGATCAAGCAGCTCTTGTTAAATGGGAATAAGAGCACCATTTCACAAAATCCCTGGTCCTGGAAACAGTGCATATTGTGTTTTACACCCTGCTTTCCCAGAAGGAGAGGCCAAAGAAAAAATTGGCTATAATCCAGGAAAGGAAAATCACATCCAAGATGTCTCATGCAGCAACAGAGAGGCCATGGGGAAACCGTGCTTGGCTGGAAGGATGGTTTCTCCATGTCTTCACTGTCAGCATCACTATGTATGAAGAAGAGGGAGTGGAAGTGGAGTAGAGGAAGTGACTGGACACTGGAGCCCTTGCTGAGGCACCCCGTCTTACTCTAGGGTTTGTGCAGCAAACTAACTCAGGCCTAACTGCTGAACCAAGTGCTGCAGTGAAAAATAGAATGGACAAAGCAGGAGAGATCGTGTAGAGTATATGGAAGGAGTGGCCAAACTTGCTCAGCAGAAGAACCCCATATTGTAAATGTCAGATGTCTGAAAGCTGCAAGACATGAAAAAATATGTATTTGTCATGACCACATAGACATTGCTACAGTGATAATGTTACCAATATCTTTTAAGACAAAAAGTGTTATTCAGCTAGTCTTTCAGTATGTTTTTCTCTCTCTCCGTATCTGCTGTATTTTCGCATCTCTGCTTAGCCAAAAAGAGATGACTGAACAATAGCTCCACTGCAGGGCAAGGGAGCTCCCAGGCATTCAAAGCTCCTCAGGCATGCATTGAAGCACCTCATGCAAATCTTTTCCTGTAAACAATGCTCAGCTTTGAAGGACATATAGCTATAGCTTACCACAATGAAAGGAAATGCCATGCCCACCAGAAATAAATTCATCCAGAGCAGAGCACCATTGATCATGTAAGCAGTTGGGTGGGTCACCTGGTCAAAAATCTCCATGGGGATTATTCCTGTCACACCAGCTAGACAAATCAAGAACACGAGTAATTACAGCACCTGGCCTGGTAGATATTCTGTTCATTTTCTGGTGAGACAAGGCAGTTTTTGACAAACACAAGGTTTGCAAAATATTGAAGAGTTAGAGAAGTCCTTCACAGCAGGAGCACTCCCACAAAGCACGGTTGCTAGGCACACATGCATGCCACCAGATTCTCCTAGAAGCAAAGATGCTGCACCCAACAAGCTGTTCACCTGTGTATTTTTTGCTATATCATCAGTATTGCCTACTTTTAAATTTTCAGTGGAAAGATGAGATTAGATGCACAGCTGAGGAGCAAAGGGAAAGTTGAGATGCACAGCTGAGGAGCAAAGTTGAGGGAAGGGATTAGATGCACAGCTGAGGAGCAAAGTAGGTGTAGTGCAGTACCAACTGCCCCAACATTTGATTCCTGTGCCCACCTTCCCTTTTGTATGCATCAAGGCCCAGGAAGTTTTTCCTAGGAGAGACAAGTGGAAGGGTGTGCATAGCTAAGGCTGGGAAACTCCTGTTGATGAATATCTACCATCAAAACAGTTGAATTGTGTTGTACCTGACTCCCCAGGATCCTGATAAAATAATATCTATCAGCTTGCTCAGGCTTCAGATAGGCATGACTCCTCTAGGCTTCAGATAGGCATGACACGGCCAAACACTAGAATAATCAAACTGTCTCAGGGTGTGCATGATAGGCTTAGCTCTCCTAAGCTCTAGCCCATTCAAATGTCTAGTAACTGCCTCAGAGAATTCCCCTCAGAAAGTGGAAAAAGCTTACCAAAGACATGCAATGGGCAAAGATTGCTTAGAAGGTGTAAATTAAAATATAAAACTTACTGCTAACCAAATCTGCTTCTGTATATCGCTTGCTCAACTGCTTATGTGATTCTGTAACTCCCCATTGTCACCATTGTTCTGATTTCTGTCAAAAACTGATTGTATTGTTTACCATTTACCGAAAGCTCACTGTGAAGCTATAAAAACCTCATTCCAACTCTGTCCAGCGCCGCATTCTAACCATGAATGTTGGTCCCTGCAAGAACTCTTGCAGGTAATAAACTCCTCTTTATTTTTTACCATCCGGTCTCTGGTCTCGTCTGTAACACCGCGGGTACAACAAATTGCTCATGCTCCAACCTAAATGTGAGCAGCTGGCATACAGCAGCTGTTAAGGGTTTGCTCTAACTAACCTGGTCCAATGCCAAAGCTCAGGATGTAAGCAAAGATGCAGGCCGTGCTGAGGTAAGGCATCCAGGTGAGTTCATCCTGCAAGGCCCAAGAAAATACAGGGGGGGGGGGTGAGTAACTTCACAGAAACCCAACTAATGTTTGGTCCCCTCTCAATCCCACCCACTTTCAAGTGGAGAAGAAAAGCTCAATTACCTGCAGGGACAAGGCCACCATGAAGACAATGGCCCACACTGCCATGAGGCTGTAGCCTCCTATCAGCAACACCCTACGTCCAACGTACTCTATGATCAGGTTTTGGAACAAAATATCACAGAAAACTCACTGGGTACACTGTGGGGCATATGGAAGAGCAGAATAGCAAGTCTGACCCGGAGTTACTGGATTTTCAAATCACTTTATGCTTTGAGAAAATCCATAAATACTCAATTTTAGTCACCTGTGAAAAAGCACATGGCTTGGAGATTGGAAGTTTGGTTAAATGCCCTCGTGTGTCTTTCCCTTATAGTTCTTTTGAGTTACTAAATGATTTGAGACACTAATTTATTTTATGGATTTAGTTCCCAGGGCAGTTGTACAGTAGGGTTTACACGGCAACTGCAAAAGCAAAAATTGCCATTATTTTTTTAAAGCAGAATGCCATGACGCAGAGCGGCAGAACATCCCATTCTTAGTGCTGAAGTAGACCAATGTCAGGCTCTGGCGATCATCTCTGATGGACATTCGGACAACTGCTCCTTTGTGTATCCCATTCCCAAGTTGTCAAGGGCTTTGGCTGTCAAAACCAGCACCTGAAATTAACCGGGATCCACAGTAAAGCGCAGCAAAATGTCACCATACTGCTCAGCTCCTGCTAAAAGTCTCACAAATGGGCTAATTGCTGGACAATACGGGCACATGGCACTTCCTGAAGAAAGTTCCCAGTTTGGCACTCACGTGTTGCCCCAGTCCATTCAGGAAGAGCACATTCAAAATAGCTATATGCATGCCCAGAAGATTGCTAGTATCTTCTTCATTTCCAATAGTTTCAAATGACCCCAATTAACCCTAATATCTTTGGTCTTGGTTTGTCTTGGTAAAGCAGTTCATATGTAAATAAAAAAAGTAGGGAAACTTTATATTATATTAAAATCTTTATATACCAAATAATATTGGATTTATTTCTATAGTAAAGAACAATAGGAATTACTTGATTTTATGTATTGTTAGGGTTTTTCCTTTACTTTTATGCATTTAGCCTGAGGGTAATATAATACCCATTTCAAAGGGTAGAATGGAGTCTGGCTAAGGAGCCACAGCCTGATCTAAATCAAGTTAAAAGTAGTGGGTAGGCTACCTAGAAACACGTGGGCAGCAAAGGTTGCAAGGACCAGTTTTTCATTCTGTGATGAGCCCCATGTAATGCCAGCTCCCATTAGAGCATCTAAAGGCTCAGTAATCACTTATTTTGTCCTGCTTAGCAGTTCCCTGGCCATGCTGGCTGAGGCCATGCCAAATGGTGAAGTTCTTTGAGATACAGGAGCCAAAAGTATGAGTGACAGAAACCTCTAAGAACTGTCCTTACCAACCTACGTAAATCTATAACAAATCTTGAGGCAATATTGATATCTAGTGGCATAATTTTGTTCTGTTTTTGCATTTAGTGTCTTACCAACTGTTCTTAACCCATTCAGATCTGTATCGCACATAGTCTATAGAATAAAATTATATTTCCAATTTTCTGGATGCGGCTGTAGATATTTTGAATGTTCTCCTGCTCCAGCTGCAACACTTGTGAGAAAAATGTGGCTACTGAACCTTGGGAGTAGAATCTAGTCTGGAAATTTCCAAAGGAAATTATGGCGAATTCTCTTCTTTTCTGGATAGGAACTGAACTGGTGCCTAGATACAGAGCAAGGAGCCTATAGGCCCCTCCAGTTATTAGATCCCCAGTCTATTTATTCAGAATGCGAACACAACTAATTTGAGCACATGAACTATTAGAAGTACTTCCTTTATATCTGGATTAAGCTACAGTTTATTGACCATGCCAAATCTATGGCCATATGGGGGTTTAGCATCAGCAAGTCCTCCACTGAAAAAAGGACAATTGGGATGAGGTACAATCAACACATAACGTCTAAGCCACCTAGAATCTTTTCTCAATGTTAGCAAGCCAGATCTCACTAATCTTCTTCATTGATTTCTTTAGAAATTTTTGTATCCTGCTGTTCACCTTGTCTCAGGGCAGATCTTTTGCTTTTGCTTCTCCTCCTCCACCCCCAAATGTCATACTTTATGCTCCACTCTATTCCATTTCATCTTGTAAGATTCAGTCCAGTGTCCAACATGTCTATAAACTTTTGAATCTTGATCCTGTCTTTCTGTCATGAGGCCGGAGCACTCTTCCTAATTACTCACACAGGAACAGGCAATA